TAGTTGGCGTGTTCTGCTACCGGTGAGTGCGTGTGTTCAGGATGCACCCTCCCTGCTCCCCTCTGCAGAACAATAGAACACACTGACCTCAGGTTCACACACACACACACAGAGCAGGGTGGGACATGTCGACTATATTAAGATGGAGAAACTCGACACTGTGAGAGCGATGGCGAGATACGGCGAGATAATCACATTCCTGAGAGAGCGACAGAACAAAGGATGTGTGTGTGTCTCCTGAGGAAACCAGAATCCCGCAGCTGCTCTGAATCTAAACAGCCGTCTGTACCTGTCTGTCTGTCACCAGGAGGAAGAGGAGCGCGCACATCCACGACAAGAGCGGCCACTACCAGATGGGGCAGAGTGAGTCTGACAGCCAATCAGAGACAGAGCTACAACTCGGCCAATGAGCCAGTCTGATACAAACGGTTTTAAATGAACGCGGCCGACTGACGATGATGATTGTGCTGTTTTTGTAGCGATGAAGGTTTACATCGACCCGTTTACCTACGAGGACCCAAATGAGGCCGTGAGGGAGTTCGCCAAAGAGATCGACGCCTCCTTCGTTAAGATCGAAGAGGTCATCGGAGCAGGTAACCCACACCTGTATGTCTGCGTGGTGTAAACTTCTGTCACGGGCAAACTCCACCCTCCAAGCCATAAGTTTTTGATGAAATTCTCATCAATCAGACCATTTCGGGTGTTTTAAAAGAAACTGTGAATGCTCAAAGAATGTTTTTACGACTCCAGGAACCTTTTGAAGGAACGTCTGTGCAGCTAAAGGTTTTAGAGACGTCAGCCTTTTTGGGAATGCCAAAAACCTTTGAATGGTTTCGTGATTATTGTAATAAGTAAATCATTAAAGATTCAGGAACACATTATTAGTGGATATGGTGGCATATATTTTGGGAATCTTGAGGAATTTGTCTGGGATCTGGAAGCATTTGTGGATGCTGTTCACCTCTGGAGCTTTGTTAGGAGCTTTGTTAGGAGCTTTGTTAGGGAGTCTGCACGGAGGCAGCAGCACGACAACAAAAAGCCCAAATATCTTCTGTTGTTTCTGAAAGGCCAAAACAAACTTATGGGTCTTAATAGGACTTTTATTTTGTAAAGTCTTCCAGATGTGTTTGTGACCTTTGACCCCCTCGAGAGCGGAACATTAACTTTCCCATGATGAGGCGAAGCTGTGTTCGCACTAAAAGAAAACATCAGATGTCATTTGTTCTCCGTCATGAACCCTGTTTTATTAAAAGTAAACACGCCACGTGCGCGTTTGTGCGTGAGTGTGTGCGACGGCGTGAGAGAGCGTGATTGATTGAGTGTGTGTGCAGCTACTGTAACAGTAGTGCTCTCAGTGATGACATTGGTGAGATGTAACTGGATAGCGGTTGCTGCGGAAACAAGGGTGCAAACTTTTCACCGCCGGCTGGCGAGCGCGCTCAGACACACACGCAGGCCACATGTGCGTGAGTGCTGAGGGAGGTGTTGACGTGCTGGTATGCGCTAATGAGCCTTAAAGGAACATTACACCCCTCCAGTATCAATAACACGAGTCCTCTTTATTGAGTAGATATGGGGCTGCGCGGCGTCGAGGGTTCGGCCCTGCTGCGATTGGCTGTTTTCAGGTGACCGTGTGACCTCATTAGTTGCTCTGACACGTGGAGTCCCTCAGGGTTCTGCTGTGGGTCCTCTACTGTTTCCGTCTTCAAAGAACGCAAAGATCTGCCTCCACTTAGGGAAACTTCGTTGCCTCCGGCCGGCGTGGACTCGCTCTGCTCTCACCTTAGACGACGCTCAGCGGCAGGTCTGTGTTTGGATTCTGGGGCTCTGCTGTCAGCCGATCTCTGCACCTCCAGATTTACATCCACCTGAACCTTTTTACACTCACTTTAAGCTCCACCTCCACCCTCTCATTTCCCGTGACCCCGCTCTGTCTGATTGGCCAGCATCCCCTCAAACCTCCTCCAGCTTTTCTTACCTTTACCTATTAGAGAAAACAAGATATGAGGCTGTTGTCCTCTCGCCTACAGGTGGAGGTGAATTTGGCAAGGTGGCTTTTCTTTTCTCATATTAGATATTTCTATGACATTAAGCCTGAAGGAAAACAAACACCTGGGAAAATACACCTGTGGAACGTCAGGTCATTACAATGTTGTTATGACTCGGCTGGATACACCTGGGCAGGAGTATGACTGTTTATTTTTACATTTGCTGTCATAACCATAGCCGATGTTACTACGTGATCTTTCATCACCTGCCCATGTGATTGTTTTTTAACAAAAATAACACCACCTCGGTGTTACCTTCCCATTTCCTGAATCAGGTGAGGACAGGTGCACAGACAGTGTTGTGTTCAGTATATCTGAAATCTTTTCACGTGGCAGTTTTATCATTAATCTGGGGATTAAATTTGAATAAATTATCCCCAGTGAAATACAGGTGTGTTCTTCCATTTGAGTTGTAACTATTGTAAAAGTAATGTAACCTGTGCCATATACCTGTACAGGTGAGTTTGGCGAGGTGTGTCGTGGTCGGCTGAGGATCCCGGGCAGGAAGGAGAACTACGTGGCCATTAAGACCCTGAAGGGGGGCTACACGGAAAAGCAGAGGCGGGACTTCCTGTCGGAGGCGTCCATCATGGGACAGTTCCAGCACCCTAACATCATCCACCTGGAGGGAGTCATCACCACTTCCTGCCCCGTCATGATCCTCACCGAGTTCATGGAGAACGGGGCGCTCGACAGCTTCCTGAGGGTGAGAGGGGGACAGTCACAGACCAGCAAACCTGTCTGACCTTTTCCCTGTCTGACCCTCTACCTGTCTGACCTTCTACCTGTCTGACCTTCTACCTGTATGACCCTCTACCTGTCTGACCTTTTCCTGGCTGACCCTCTACCTGTCTGACCCTCTACCTGTCTGACCCTCTACCTGTATGACCCTCTACCTGTCTGACCCTCTACCTGTCTGACCCTCTACCTGTTATGACCCTCTACCTGTCTGACCCTCTACCTGTCTGACCCTCTACCTGTCTGACCTTTTACCTGTCTGACCCCCTCTATTACCTGTCTGACCCTCTACCTGTATGACCCCCTGTATGACCCTCTACCTGTCTGACCTCTACCTGTATGACCCTCTACCTGTCTGACCCTCTACCTGTCTGACCCTGTCTGACCCTCTACCTGTCTGACCCTCTACCTGTCTGACCCCCTACCTGTCTGACCCTCTACCTGTCTGACCTTTTACCTGTCTGACCCTCTACCTGTCTGACCCTCTACCTGTCTGACCCTCTACCTGTCTGACCCTCTACCTGTCTGACCTTTTACCTGTCTGACCCTCTACCTGTCTGACCCTCTACCTGTCTGACCCTCTACCTGTCTGTTTTCAGATGAATGATGGCCAGTTTACCACCATCCAGCTGGTGGGGATGCTGCGCGGCATCGCAGCAGGAATGAAGTATCTGTCTGAAATGAGCTACGTCCATAGAGACCTGGCGGCTCGTAACATCTTGGTGAACTCCAACCTGGTCTGTAAGGTGAGGGTGTGGCCCTGCACACCTGTCCGCTCGACTAATCTAAACAGATCTGACAGTTGTGGTTTTGTGTTTTTCAGGTGTCAGATTTTGGCCTGAGCAGGTTTCTGACTGAAAACTCGTCAGACCCGACGTACACCAGCTCTCTGGTGAGTAACTGTCACAGTCTGTCTCTTTATGATTTCTGATATCCTTATCTCAGACACAAAGGCCACACCCATCTGCTGTAAGGGACAGCCAATCAGAATAAAGTTGGCTTAAAGGAAAGAAGATGAAACGGGCTCTTTGAGACAGAGGATGGACTGGGGGGGCTGGTTTCAGATAAAGGTTTACTTTGAACTGTGAATCATGCAAAGCTGCTCAACTCGCATGTTGTTGCTACAAGTTAAGTTTTGTCTCTGGTCATGACACCTCTTAACAGGAAGTCTTTTATTCATCAGTAGATGATGAATGTTGTCTTTAAGACCTTCATCATCAATCACGTCTGTCTGGTTGGTCTTTCAGCTCTGTTTTGGTTCTGCTGGAGATCCTCAGGGTTCTGGTCTCGGTCCTCTGTTGTTGAGCATTACCTGGGTGCTTTTATTGTGAAATTCGGTTATTACCTGACTGATCCAGTCTTGTTTTTTAGGGCGGCAAGATTCCCATTCGGTGGACGGCTCCTGAAGCCATCGCGTACAGGTGAGTGCCAGTACTGCAGGCTGGCGTAGTGGGTAAAGGCTTCCTCTTCTTATTGTTATTATAGTGTTCTGTAGATAATCATTTGATGAATTTACTGTCTGATTGCAGGAAGTTCACTTCAGCCAGCGACACGTGGAGTTACGGGATTGTCATGTGGGAAGTGATGTCATACGGGGAGCGACCGTACTGGGACATGAGCAACCAGGACGTAAGGAACAAAGCTATACACTTAAAACTTGATTGTTTGGAGGTTCATGGACGTGAAACTACGACTGAATCGTTAGTGCTCATTTACAATAAAAGAAGCTGAAATTATTCCAGCAAAGGTGTCCAAAGCTGATGGTTAAAAAAGCCGTTTCATCAGAATGACAGAGTGCTCACTGCCTCTCACGCTTCTGCTTCATCAGGTGATAAACGCCATCGAGCAAGACTACAGGCTTCCCCCGCCGCCGGAGTGCCCCGCCTCCCTGCACGCGCTCATGCTGGACTGCTGGCAGAAGGAGCGAGCCAACCGGCCGAGGTTCTGCGACGTGGTGGCGGCCCTCGACAGGCTGATCCGAAACCCCACCTCCCTGAAAGTGACGCACCCAGAGGCACAGAGGTGAGGCTCGATGAAGGAGAGGGGGAGGGGGCCGGAGCCGTGGAATGTCATTCAGGCACCAGCTGGTGGGTTCGGGGTCAAAGGTCAGAGTGTGGCAGGGAGACAAAGGAATGTGGGGCAGCCAGCTGTGTGATTGACAGCTGTTAACACAAGCAGGTGCACATTCCTGGATTAAAACTCCAAATGAAGCCGTGTCCTCCCGACTGTCCACCTCCTCTTTCAGTGAAGGAACATCAGAGACACGAGGAGGAGGAGGATGGAGATCAGTGTCAGATAAGAATGAGATTGTTTTAACGGCGAGAGCAGAGGCGGCGTGCATGTTTGTGCTTTCTGAGAGGAATAAAGTTCCTGTGGTTTGTTAGCAGCAGATAGTAAAGCAGTACCACGGGTGGAGCAGCCGCTCCTCGTTCTGCTCCGCAGCCTCTGTAGGTCTCACTGTGGGTCTTTCAGGTTCTGGTTAAACTGTGCAGACCAAACAGGAAGTTAAGTTTCAGCTCGCCTTACGTGCATGAGTTCAGTTGCTGGGTATTTTGGAAATTCACAAATATTTGCCAAAGGGCGGAGGAGGAGTAAAGTGACGCGAGAATCTCAGTGCGAGGCTTCTGTGACACAGCGCGAAACTATTTTTTCTCTCTTTGCCAAAGTGGACATATTTTCACTTGCACGAACACGTATGTGGCACTGTTGCCTGGCACGGATTTCAGGTTGTTTTGAACACACCGTGAGAGCAACCCTCCATAGCAGGACGAGGACCTCCACCTGAGTCCAAGAGGTGAAGCCAGGTCCATCCACCACAGCAGCTGGCCAATCTGCCGAGAGAAATCGGAAAACAGGAAACCTCTGGGATCGGTGGTTAGCAAGGACTGAACTTTCAAAATAAAAGCAGGACAAGTCTCCTGTATAATAAGTTGAAGCAGTGATGCAACACTGTACAGGAAATAATTTAATACCATAAAACCACCAGACTGGGTGTAACATGTGGTGGAAACCAGCAGGGATGATTTTATCCTGCTGTGTGACACGATCCTTCCTGATGTTCAAAGTAAAGTCATGTGCTTGGATACAACATGGTAACATTTCTGTCACATGAACACAAACGTTTTCACATGACTCTGGTCTGTCTTCTCCATCATCATTAAGTATGGGTGCCTTATAAAAGCAGACGTTTCAGCCGTTTGTTGGTCCGAAGCTTTCAGATGCAATTTCCAAACAATTCAAAGTAATCATCACAGCAAATTAATCTCAGACTCTGCACTTAGATCAGGACTGAAAGTGTGAGGCTCGTTTGGAAGAGCTGACAGGAGAGAATAGGCAGGTTTGGAAACTATCTGAGAAAACTCACAAGACAACGTCCCAGCCTGGAAGTGTAAAATACACCATCATGGTCGGGGAAAACCAAGTTGACCATGAGCTCCTGTTGCGGAGTCTGTCTGACAGCCAAAGCTGGGTCATGAACGGGATAATGATCCCAAACACAGCAGCTCCTGGGAAAACTTTCTTCTTTACACCAAATTACACGTCTTTGAGTTTAAGACTGAAAAAGGGGTTAACATGTAAACCTTAGCAGCTATATTTAAGACCTACATGTCATTTTAAGGGTTTCGTGGCTTGAAGCCAGCACGCTCTGCTTATTTGAACCATAACAGAGCAGGAGAATAAATCTCGCGCTCACATATTCATGCCACATATTTTATAGGCGGCAGGTCTGAACACGCTGCTCTAATAATGACTCGCTGAGGAATGTCATCATTCACATCTGCCCTGTCCTTTCAGCCTGTCCCATCCTCTGTTGGACCAGCGAGTCCCGCCTCCTCTGTCGGCATGCGGTTCGGTCTCCGAGTGGCTCCGAGCCATAAAGATGGAGCGCTACGAGCAGAGCTTCCTGCAGGCCGGATTCACCAACCTGGACATCGTCTCGCAGCTCAACACTGAGTAAGACACTTATTCTTTCTGTGATTGGCTGCCTGCCAGTCAACACTCAGGGAAACCAAGCTCTATATTTGTATTTATTTATTTGCATCACCCTCTTTCTGTTTCCATAGAGACCTCCTCAGAGTGGGCGTGACCCTCGCAGGGCACCAGAAGAAGATACTCTCCTCCATCCAGACGCTCAGGATACACAAAGCTCCACCCACCATGCTCTACTGACCACTCGCAGCCTGGTCACAGCACAACACTCAAAATGACCCTGACGCTGTCCACCGTTGTACCCGATCCAGCCAATGGGAACGCTTTACAGCCTGAAACACTAACTGATGCAGTTTCAACCAATCAGAACGAAGGAATGAGATGACCATTCTTTGACGGGCTGGTTGAACCTCAGGATTTCTATTGGCTCGTCTCGCTCAACCACATCCCGAGGTTGCTTGTTTTTTTAAATCCACTCTGAACAGCAGAGCTCACAGAAATCAGCCAATCAGCATCCAGCACAGAAAGGATGTTGGAAGACTTTGGAAACTATTCCTTATGTGGACTCTTCTGATTGGATGTTCCTCCACTGTAAAGACCAAGCTCCGCCCCTTGCTGGGAGCATCGCTTTCCCAGCCTGTTTGATGGCTGGATTTCCAGGGCAGGAGGATTTTCCACTGAAGAAACACCAAGAAAGAAAAATTACAGGCAGAAAATGACTAAATTCTGCTGGAAACACAAGCAGGATACTTTGGTTTGTACTTCCTGTAGAAGAAACAAACCCTTTGCAGGATGCTGCCACTGTGACCGCACAGACCTGAGAGCCTTTTAAAATGAGCCGAACGGGTTTTACGGTGACGTGGCCGGTGTTTGAGTTTCTTCAAGCAGGAATCTGAACACACGTGTTTCTGAAGGACATCTTGGGAATGTGGGACATGCGGGAATTCCAACGCACCGGTCGGTAATCTCCCTCTCAGTGGGATTATTTCCACACCAGCGTTCAGGACCATCTGAAGGGATTCGTGATGTGACCGGTCAGCATGTTCTAGCAAAGTTTCAGCATCATACTGTTTGTAATCTGTGAGGAATATTCTGGGGTTGCCTCAGAAAACACCGGTGTACTTTTCAAGGAAGTCTTTGGGAATGTTCGCTCCCTGCTCAGACCAGAACTTTTCCAAATGTGACTCATCGGGTGCTGAAATTCTCTGGATTAAGGGAAGTCACGTGGGAGTATTTAACTGTACACACGGTAGTTTTCTCAATCAGACTGAAAGTTTTTTAAATTGTTCGGTGCCTACAAACGATCGAAGCCCACCTGTAGTGGGTTTCTGTGTTGTGAACGTACTCAAGTGTATTTTGTCCTCCAGCTGTAAGGCATCCATCATCTACATGATCTCCCCTTTGTAGACTCAGCTCCCTGTGGCCTAAACGTACGTGACTGTCATTTATCAGCCTTTCACGTGTTGGGATGAAGCCACTGCAGGTTTAATGTTTTTGAGACCATTTTCCACAGGAAGTGAAAAGCCATTCAAAGCTTCAGTGTTGGACACGAGGACTACGTTTGAGGACTACAGCAGACATCTTTTTGTTTAATCGTGAACTATTGATGCTTTTGTATCGTAGCACTTTTTTTTTGTACCTGATATTTGATCGTATTTTTACACAAAGCAGGAGATCAGAGTTTTTATAGTAAACCTACATTTCAGGCGAAACGTCGTCTTCACTTTCTGAAGAGAAACGTATAAAAACAATCCTTAGCTTTCACGGAGGCGAGTGAGACGATCCAGGTTCAGGACCAAAGATCACATCTGCCCACTGGAGCGAGACTGTGCGTCTGCCTCGCTACATAAATGTTTAACAGCGGCCCACAAACCAGCTCTTCCACTTTTACAACACTAACATTAACCATCAGGCCAACATTTGGCAGTTTGCCTCTTCAGTCTCTTCTGTTCTCCGGCCAAACACTCATTAATGTGAGGAGCAGTCTTTGTTAGTGATGCTTCACAGACAGGAAATAGCTGCCATCACCTTCCTCACCGAGCCACCATCGTGGTCATCGTCTCAGGTGTAACTCCAGCAGATGATGATCAGCCAGTTAAAACCACCGAACTAATCATGTGACCTGGAGGAGATTGTCCACTGCAGTGTTTCTGCAGAGGTTTGCATGCATGCAAAGGAGCTGTTGGGTAACAGAATATAACAGGTGTTACATTTTTGAACATCACGATAAGTCTCGTATCCTGTCGTTGCAGAGCAGTAACCTGGTAGGAACAGACGAGACTGAAAAGGCCTCTGAGATCAGAGCTGACTGAAATATAGAACAAAAAGAAGGGATTGTTGGCTGTAGATCAGGGGTGGCCAACTCCAGGCCCCGAGGGCTGGTGTCCTGCAGGGTTTAGATCTCACCGTGGGTCAACACACCTGAATCACATGATTAGTTCATTACCAGGCCTCTGGAGAACTTCAGGACATGCTGAGGAGCTAATTTAGCCATTTAAATCAGCTGTGTTGGATCAAGGACACATCTAAAACCTGCAGGGACACCGGCCCTCGAGGCCGCCCCTGCTGTAGATCCTTCGGTTATAGGGTGGAACTTTTGGATGGATGAAAACATGAAACTGCCAAAAGGAGCTGCCGACATACTTTGGTGGGCCTCCAGCTGGAGGCTGAAACATCCAGTAAACCTTCTGATCATCAGGGTTGAATCACGATGGTCTGAAAGTCTGAGTAATCCACTTCTAATGGTATTTTTACTGAATCGCATAAACTGGTTCATTGGTCCATTACCTGCCAGTCAAAGCACTAACGGGCCAATAACAGCTCCTCTTTGTCATGCCTCCTTTCTGTAAGTCACAGTGTTGCATGATGGGAGTTTGAGTCAGTGGCAGTCCACCATCGATCCACTTTCATTGGACGGACAAATGTAAACACTTTGTTTTGGGAAACAAGTTTTATTTAAATGCGTAATTTTGAATGTTGTGAACTCAGCTCTGCCTTTTATACGTCCACACTAATGTATGAGAATATTTTTATTGTTAATAATGTTGTCATAAAGAAGGATGTCCACTGGGCGAGGGAAAACTCCAATAAAGATGCCCGACGACACGTCTGCTGCCTGTCTGTCTGCTTTACGTTAAAACCAGGAGAAAACTTTTACTGTGCCAGGCGTTTCCAGTTATTTATGAAGTAAAACCAAACTCGGGCGCCTCTTTGCAGCCGTGTTACGTCTGAGTCACCGTCGGTGACAAATACGTTAGCGCGCAGATATCAGAGGACGTGTTGTTTCGAGCTCGCAGGGGTCGGGAAGGAAACGTGGTTTGGCCTGAGTTAAGCTCCAGATGAGACGGGATAGATCCACTCCAGGCTCAGCAGGTTAAACCCCCGATGGGAGCGTAAGAACACGGCGCTCGGCAGATCAAACCCAAAGGTGGGCCAGCTTTAAGACGAGCTACAGGTTAAGGTTAGGTATGAATCGTTGTAATTATGAGTTTAGAGCATCTGAGTCAGAGGGCTGGGTTTGGATTAGAGCGGGTTTATCCCGTTAGAAGACGGGATTTTGGTTTTTGAATGTTGTTCTTTCAAGTCACGCAACCAGGTAACAAGGAGATCATTCTGTAGAGTGTAGATAATAATAAAGGGAACCTAACCCAACCCTGTGATTGGGTAGTTTTAGGTACTCCGCAGTAAGCTCGGCTTCACTTCTCTGCAGACAAAAGGACGCCACCTTGGTACTTCATGGTTAACAGACTCTTGCAGTTCGTGGTTACATTCTGCCATCGGCTTCATCCTGCTGGGTCATATCACACGTCCCAGCATCTGGTTTACCTGATCTAACAGGAACTGATGCAGTCGTCTTAGGAACGTTTCACACACAGGATCGTTTTAACGATTTTGATATCGATCACTTCTAAGGCCGCTCGTGGCCTCACTCTGAGCTGCAGCTCTGACCTCTCACTAAGAGCACATACCTTTAAATCCTCGGGCAGATGTCTTCAGCCTGTTTCGGGGCGCGGCTGAAGACCAGGGGCCGAGGCTCTGGAACAATCTGCCCGAGGTGAACGTTTATGAGAGAGCCTTTCCCCGTTTCACTCGAGATTTCATTTCCTTTCAACTACATTTTATTCCCTGCAGAATTTCTTTTACGGTCTTTGTGCACATTTAGCTTTCTGACTCTGTCACATCATTATATCACAATATGTGGATCTAAAAAAAGAACAAAGACACTTAGATTAAATATATGATGACGCCTCAGAACAGTGATGTGAATATTTAATGAAACCAGGTTCAATTAATCTGATTTTAATCAGAAAATATTTCCAAACAGCCTGATGATGTCATGTTTCCCCGACTGATCTGCAGAACAAAACACAATGAGAAAGAAAACAAGGCGTTATCTGTGAAACAAGCTGTAATTAAACCTCGAACAGACGAAGCGTGTAAACGTGACGGGTGTAAAACTGTCTCAGGTTCATTACGAGGAACGAGAACAACATCTGTCCTGCTGTCATCTTCTGGTGATGTACAACAGCTCTCGGTTTTAGTCGTTGAGCCGCAATTTGTGAACTCTTCAGAAACGCCGACCTTTGACCCCGAGCTCTCTCCAGGTCCGTGTTGCGGCTGCAGATAACGACCTGTGTGTGGCGTGTGTGCAAATCATAGGAAACTTAAAACAGTCTCCTCGTTTCCTCTGACGGTGATGGTTTGAGCTCAGAGCACAGAAGAGTTTCATTTAACTTCAGTGTGACCTTTGACCTTCAAGAGACAAACAGACCACCAGCACTGAGTGTTTCTTATCAGGGCTGAGATGATGGAGGGATGAGCGGCTGACAGACAGAAGGCAGACCCGATGGAGGTCCGAGACATCGTCGTGTCTGCTGACGGTGCATTTCATTTATAACAGCGTCGGGCAGGCGAGAGGTCGGGGTTCACTCAGAAGGTTTGTGTTTGTTTTAAAGATTAACTTCAGGCCTAATTCACAGTTACTGACAGAGATGAGCAGGGAGGGAAGAGACTCCTGAAAAAGTGTTTTTCTGTGTCTGTCGTGCTCAGGTCACTGCCACAGACCCACCAGCTTCTTCTAGAGCGAATCTTCAGATCAAAGTCTCCAGAAGAACTGTGGGAGCAGCAGAGCTTCTCAGAGCTGCTTCCTCCTGCTCCTCTGGGAGACAAAGACACAAAACCAGCTGACATCCCGAAAACCCTCCCAGATAATGCACCACCTCAACTGCTCCCCTCCCCTTCCAGGCGCTTTTTATTGTAATTTAAAGACCCTCCAACCGTTTATGAGCAAGCATTCAGCGACAGTAGGAAGGACGACACCTCCATCGGGGCCAGGATCGGGAGCTGTGACTGGTTGTGGGTGAGGGAGGGAGACAGGAGCCTCCCTCTGCCTGAGAGAAGTTTCTGATGTTTGTACCAGGAAACTGGAAACGGCTCAAACAGCAGGCGTCTGTCTTCTCCACTTCTGACCACTATTTCAGGATCCCTCGGTTTTCTGTGGTTGAATTTGAAGCTACTTCCTGTCTTTCTGCTTTTCCAGTTTGTCGTGCACGTTAAAGGCAGTCGTAAAGCGCTTCAAAAAGCTTCAGCCCTGCAGTCTGAATGAGCCTGACGTGACTCGATTGATGCTGTGATGATGTGCTGAATGTGAAACAGACTGTCTGAACCAGGAGAACAGAGGCGCGTCGCAAACAGGAAACATACGTTTGAATGCTGAGTGTTGCAGCCGAAGCCTCATAGTTGCAGAGAGCAGAAGGCCCTGTGTTTACTATAAGCTTACAGACCGAATTTCCCTTTGAGCGCCTGAAACGTGAGAGCGTAAATACATCCTGGGCTTGTTCCCCTCAGATGAGTCCAGCATGTGCTCCACTTTCAGCTAACAGATGTGAAAATTGCAGCCGAGCGACTCTGCAGCTGTCACTGATCATAATTAGCTTCTGAAATCTCCATTCACCGCTCAGCGCTCGCTCTGTGACGTCTCCCCGAGTTCCCTGAACCTCAGCAACTCCAAAGTAAGGAGCCGCGTTCCTCCAGGCAGGTAAGAGCACGCCGCTCCAGGCCGGCAGGTGTTCCACTTTAACGCCAACAAACACGCAGCGACGGCCACATGTGGGAGGTCAGAGGTCAGAGCAGCTCGAGTAGGAGCATGTGGTTCGAGTGACTGACAGTCGGCGAAACTCGAGCCTGAACAAACACTCGACAGAGTCTCAGCTCTGAGAGCAAAGGCAGGGCGTTTTCTGCGACCCTTCACCTTCATTCATGTCGTTTGTGGCTCCACGTACTTCACACATTCTCACTGATCACCATGACGATGGAGAGTCCAGTCGTTCCCGTTTCCGGGTCCAGCTTGCGTCCCGCCATCATGTGACTAATAAACCTGAAAAGCTGGCAGATGTTCCACCAGCTGTTTGTTTTGCAGTTGCTTTTAGATAAACTCGCTTTAAATGCGGTGCTGCCCTCAAACTGAGCATGAGCAGGACTCTTCAGTAAATCAGTTTCAGGATTTGGTAACTGATATGTTACCTTTGGGGGTTTCCATTAAAAACAGGCTCCAAGCTTTTCTGGGGACTGTGATTTAAATCTTCCCCCATAAAGACAACATTTGACGACCTCCTCCGAACCCTTAATGACGAGTGCCGTGGTATATGTCAGTAAAGTTGTGGTTGGACAACTATTAGGATGGTTTCTGGGTTTTTCCAAGAGTTGCTGCACAGGCAGAGACCACCCTCACTAACTGGATGTCAT